TGTATGTGTATGTGTATGTGTATGTGTATGTGTATGTGTATGTGTATGCATGCTGTCCTACCTAGAGATGCCCAGAGAGCACCAGGTGGGCTCGTTTACAAGCATCCTTAGAAACAGAATGGTAAAACATGAAAGCCTGTTATAAACCCTTTTAATTAAAACACATTGTGCCATATATTCTCCTCTCTGTGGGGTTTGTCTGACCTCTCACCTCTTCTTTTGTCCTGCAGGCACTCCACTGCTGGTTAGGAGAAGCAGTGACCCAGCACCAGGGCCCCATGCTGATGCCCAGCCAAGCGCTGCAAGCCTGAGTGGCCAGAGCTTGAAACCTGTTGTTCTGGTAGGTATCCTACCATCTCTGTGAGGGATCAAAGGGCCTTGCCCATCCACTCCAAAGAGCTGATAATGAGATACAGACCTTTTGATGAGATGCAGAGTAGTGATTATAAAACTAGATAGCATGGTTTGATAGGAGGATACAGTTAGTGATGGTCATTACTTACATAATGCTGCTTGTCAAACCCTAATTTAATCTTCTACATGTAAGTAAGGACAAGTCTCTATTCTCCAATTTTCTGATAAAATGTGAGACAGGGAGAGATTCAGGACATACAGCTATGTGTTCAGTGATGTAGGAGATTCAGAAGTGAACCAAGTGGTCTGGCTCCAAAGGCCCTGTTTCCAGCCAGCATATGACCTTGCTGCACGCCTGCTGCCATTCTCCTTCAGAATATCAGAGGGTACGTTCAATGATTCATTGCAGTGCTTTGTAGAGCAGAATGACAGTGAATGTTGATACAGTTTGGGTTCCCAATACCATGACTATATGAGGCCACCACTGGCTTTCTAGAATTCAGCATTGAAACTGGAAAAAATCAAACTACATAGGAAAAATACTAATGAGACAACATATTTGTAACTGCTATATTTATGACGGATAAGTAAGAAATTACTTCCAGGTCACAGGAAGCTATTTTCCATTCATCCACATAGACTGTAGGTTCAATTCTTTAAATTCGCAGTTGCTTTGAAGAACAATAATGGTGGTTCATCCTCCCCCAAATAGTCTGCAAGTTAATCATTGGTTAATGACCATACATGTCATCACTTATATTTAAACTCTCCTAAAAGCCCATCCCTGTCTCATTACGAGCCTCACTATTTAGAGCACTTTATGAAAAATGTATATCCAGGTGATGAATGAACAAAGACAATTTTTACAATTTGGTATAATTTTGTTTTCACGAACCATTGCCAAAGATTATAAAGTAGGAGATGCTATGCTATATTATTGACTATTTACCATTTGATTTTTTTTCCTGGTTTGTATACATTTTTTCCTTAAAGTAGTACCTTTAAAACATTTCAGATATGTTTTCTCATTGTCCTATTTAAAGCTTTCGGTGCTGGAGAGATGGCTTAGTCCTTAAGAGCACCTCTCTTTTAAATATATATGTTTTATTATTTCTTTTAATTTTTTTATATTATAATTACATCCTTTTTCTTTTCCCTTTCCTCCCTCCAAACTTCCTATATGCCTTTCTTTATTCTCCTTCAAATTCATGGTCACCTTTTAAAATTAATTGTTATATGCATATATATATATATATACATATATATATATATATATATTTACATATATATGCGTGTGTGTATGTGTTTCCAAATATAGCCTGTTCAATCTGTATGACGTTACTTCTATATATTTGTATGTTTTCCAAACTGACCAGTTGGTATTAAATAGCCGATCATTGTACTCTTCCTTGGGGAAGACTCTTTCTGTTGCATTCAGCATTCTTTGGTTACCTATAGTACTTTCTGTAGGGTTGAGACCTCATGGTCCCTATCACACACTCCCCTCCGCCCCCATGAATGTCTCTTGATGAGTTCTGTGCTTAACTCAAGTTTAGGCATCATGTTGGAGAGCACCTACTTTCTTGCAGAGGACTCTCATTGGGAACTCCAGCTCCTGGGAATTCAGTGCTCTCTTTTGGCCTTTGTAGCACTTTACTCGTGTGCATGGATCAAGACACATAGCACACAATTAAAAATAAAAGTAAAATCTTTTAAAGACTTGGCTCTTTAGGGAAGTAGATTTACTAGAACATTAATAAAAATTGGGTATATCTGATCTACTTGATTGATGGGTACAGAGAAAGCCAGTGTTTGATGTTTTATGGAGTTTTTGTTTGTTTGTCTTTATTTCATTTTAAATATGCAGTGATTGAGACCAGGTTAAGTCTAAATATATTGAATTGGGAAAAGGAATGATATAAGTATGAGAAAATTTACATAAACAAGAGTAAGTACAATTTAATGCATATTTTATGATATCTATGTACCATAAAATGAGTCTACCTGACTAGTGTTGCCACTGTTTGCAGAAAGATCCTCCCACACCCGTTTCTGTCTATATCACATAGAGTCAGTGCTTAGAACAATTGAAATAACATAAATAGTTCCTTCTTTTAGAGAAAATTAGGTCTCCCATCTTTCTAATACCTCTATCCAAATTTGACCTCAGGGAATTCTGAGGCAGGGCATGTGGTTGTACGACATAGTATTACTAGCAGAGATTTGTATTCTAATTTCAGGAAAAAAAAATACTGCCACTCAAAATGCTTGTACGTTGCCTTTATGTAAGAAAAGTGGCTTAAGTATTAGTATGTGAGAAGTAGAAAGGAAAGCCCACAGTTTTTCTTCCTCATAGTGGGCTATGTGCATGATGATGAGTGACCTGAGACTTGAAGGATGTGGTCCTTGCCTTGGCACAGAACAGAAGCACTCAGATTTCCCTTGCTTTGATTATACAATAATCTCTGCTAATTGTGTTATTCCTAATGCACCAGGGACACACACTGTGCCATGCTTTTCTTTTTCTAGAGCCAAGTACATGGAAAACTCTCAGTGTGTACATGCTTTAGATCTAGAAATGAAAAAATACATATAAACCTAGTGGGAATTCTTAGAGTTTCTTAACACTACAGCAGTTTTCATTAATAATTAACCCAACCCAGCCATTCTACCCATTACCTACTGCCATACCCCAAAATTCTTTCCTTTTTTATAATATTTATTTAGCCTCCCTAAGTCAAGAAACAAATACATTAACTGCCATGCCATAAGATCTAAAGACAGCATTATTGAGTAAAGATTCTTGAGAGGGTGGCCACTTTCACTTAGAAGAAAGCCGTTGCTTGTGTGTGTCATGGTCTCATTAAGTCATTTTTTTGTTGAACTTGTGTTCAAATACATTTGCAATCATGAGTTAAATAAACTATATATTAAAATATTTTAATTACCTTTTATTTTTAAATGTGGTTAATAGAAAACTATAAATTATATTTATGGTTCTCAATGCATTTATATTGAATAGTGTTCCTTGAGACAGAAGTAAAATCAGGTGTAAATTAGTAAGATGATCTGAGACCCTAGGCGGAGGGGTCTCTGAGCCCTATGTTTCTTTTGGGTGTCAGTTCAGGAGGTGTCCTGGCTCCTTTCTGTGGTCCAGTGCAGTGCGTTCACTAACTACAGACATTCAGGTACAGATAAATATCTTGGCGTTCTGTACGGGCCCTTGTAGTTGCTCTCAGTACTTGCTCAGTGATGAGAGAAGGGCCTTCCCGGGAAGCATGGGGAAAAACAGCGCCGCAGATCTTACCTGGGAGCACACAGTTGTTTCTTCATGGCAAAGACCTTAGGAGTCCAGGAAGTTTGGATTGGTGACTGGTGCTCTTTTTCATGGCTCAGATAGCATAGTTATACTGAAAATATCACTAGGAGCAACTCGATTCCTCTGATTGGCTAAGTTCTAGTATGATAGGGAATGTATGATAATGTTCCCTTTGTAGTAAGCAATGTGGAAAACAATTGCTTTAAAGGTAAATGTTCCCTTACTTCTTCTGATATCCCGTGGGGGGTGGTGAACAATTAGAATTATCACTTACTAAAAAGTGTTCTCATGTACATGATTCACAGACAGCAGTACCCCAAATGGCTTATTCCCAGGAAAGTTAGTCATAACCCACACCACAAGGATCTAAGGAATAAATACTTGACACATTTGACTGTGTTGAAGTACTGCCTTTAAAACCACTGTTGATGCTAGTTATTTTTAACTGGACTTTATTAGACCCACTGCAGTTAAAATTGCTTCACTGATGCCCAGAGATGTGAGCTTTGGAAAGGTTAGAAAATTTGCATCTTTGTTCCCGAATGAATTGTTTCAAATTGGTTATTTCAGATGTACACTCACAGGCATGTTGGACTTACAAGACAGCGCCAAATTAGAAAATTTGAATTTGCTGCAAGTTTCAAATTCTGAGTGCTTGAAAACCCTCCAAATTTCAGAGTTTGTTAGAGTACCATCAGATAAACAGCATGGAGATTTGTTTCTCTGCCTTCTCTTCATACCAGGATAGTATAGCTATTAATGTTCAAGCAGCAATAGCTATTCATCTTCCAAGACAGTAGCGAACCTCATTCTTCTAACACTGCTGTGCTGAAGAAAGAGAACCCTGGGGACAGGATATTATAGTAAGAGTTTTCTTTCAAGAAGCCTTACCTTCCTTCCCTTGATTGCAACCTGGTGTTCTTTGGCTTAAGGGCATGCCATAAATCTGAGCGCCTTGAAATCAATGTTCCTGAATTTGCAAATGGAACTCTAAACACATGTGATATTCCCCCCTTAATATCCGGTTAACTAATATAGGTGTTTGTGTTTTAATGACTGTTTGCATCTTGCATTTAATTCTTAAGGCACATGGATCCTGCAGGGTGAGTAAATTAAAAAGTAGATTTCTGGAATGTATATAGTTGTTCTCTGGGAATAAAGATGATGCTCTGAACTTGTTACTCAATGTTTTTATTACAAAAAATTGTGTGTGTGTGAGCGTGTGTGCGTGTGTGTGTGTATTCATTTGTAGCCTTTAGAAGTTGATTTCTATTATTATATAAATTTTATTTTTAAAATTATGTGATCAGTTTGGGTGGTTGTTAAAGTACAAGGCAATGCCTGGGTATCAGGGGTATCAGGGGTATCAGGGGTGTGATATCTCTCTGGAGTTTTAGTATGAGGTAGGCAAGGGACTCATCACTCTCTACAGTTTAGAAGGAGAGCAGAAGATTAAGATGAGAAGCCTCATTTTTGAGAGTTAAATAATTCGGGGAACCAATTCCTTGACGCCACAGACTGTCTCTGAGTAAGAGGTAGAGGGGTTCACCTTCTGCCTGCAAAGGTCAGTAACTAAGGCTATTCCATTCTATTATCATCCTTTCTACCTACCACATAGACAGACATCCAGGAGTTTAACATGAATTTGTTCATTTTTGCTTCTAGAA